CAACTGTATTAGGTTCAATAACTCGCATGTGGCATTTACGTGCACGATGATGAAGCCAGCTTTAATTAAAATAACTGACGTGCTGTGCGTAACATTATAGTGTAGAGAAGGCCGGCTGTTTTGCGAGCGTCGCGTTATGTGAATCGACAATGAATTATTGTCACTTTTCTTTGGCGAGCGATCACTGATCCATTGACACATAAAGAGCATTCGGGGATTTTCATCGGTCCCGGTAGAAGATTTTGTATGCGTCGTTCGTGTTGCTTCAAATAATTCGTTGCAAGCTAATGCACCCGGAATTAATCATTTGTTATATGAATTATTTGTGAACGATCCTGCTCGTGTTTGCATTCTTTGCCAGTCTCACGAAAGTCTTACGAAAAGTAATGAATTTTGGTTTAAATGAAATGTATATTTTATTTAATAGTTTATTTCCAATAAAGAAATTAAAAATTTTATTGCAATAGAATATATTGTTAAAATATCATAATATATGTGTATACGATGTATTATATATAATTACATCTTTTTACAATATGCTTCCCTTCTAGAGTCTTAACAGTGCAATTTACAATTTAATTAACACTGCACTTGTACAAATATTTGAATGGCTTACAAAATTGATTCAGTCCAATTTGATATAATTTATCGTTCGTAAACAAAATTATATATTAAATCAATTATCAGCTAAAAATAATTTTTCATTTTTCTTACATTTTACAATTTCTGACAATAAGTCTAAGATTAAATTAAGAGAAGTACGTTGCTATTTTGCATAAATGAATAAATGGTGAAAGTGGAATTAAATTTATTACAAATCTGATGAGGAAGACTGTCAAAATTTTTCAAATAATACGCATATAACATATTATCACACGTATATAATATATCAACAATAAAAACACATAAAAATATTGGAAATGAGGAAAATATAAAAATATGATACAGTTATTGTCTTGTGTATCTTCTGTAGGTCATAAATCCTTCAAAATATTTCCACATGGTAATAAAATAAAAATAATGGAGTCTAATGTTTTATAAGCGTAATATAATTTAATAATATATTGAGATTGAATAGTAAGATTTCATAATCTCATTAGTAAAACTAAATTGAAATTTGATTCAATTTAAATTAAGATTTATACGATCAAAATTTAATAATTTGAGCAATGTAATAATAATAATGATGATAGTTAAATAACGAAGTAGTAATAGTAGAATAATGAAATAATAATTCCATTTATTGCCCGAAAAGATAACATTTGCTCTAGTGAGCTTATTATAAAAATTATTCATGTCATACGCTGATGATATTTCTAATATTTTTTTAATGGAAAATATAAAATTGGTACAAATTGGTGATTTGGTCATAAAATTTACTATACAATTATTATAGTGTAAGATAAGATGATAATAAGATAATAATCAGAAGTTTTATCCATTTTATTATACAGATAGAAATTAGACAGTATAAAATTAATCAGTATAAAAATACTACATGACTCTCACATTTATTTTAAAAATCATTTATTTTAAAAACTATGCATGATTTTCTTGTACAGTAAAGCTTCTTATCAATGAAACTTCTGATTACATTAACACTCAAGCCTTTTTCATAAATTATAATAGTAATAAAATATTACGTAGTTGTATGTTATTTTAATCCACTATATGTTATTTAACTAGTTATTTTAATTAATTAGATTTGTAAAATATTTAAAACCTTTATCTTCCTATTTTAAATATTTGAAATTTAAAAAATGTATGTATGTGTTTCTCTGATTGACTGTACATACATGTATAGTAGAACTACTGACAAATATATATAAAATTTCTATCAATGAAATCAAAATAAAAGATACAATTTATTTATCTATATTATTAGAATTAAAACAAGAGGAAAATAAATAAATTCATGTACAAAATAATGTTTATATATATATATATATATACTATACATGCTATTTTATAATATATTTTACTATTATATAGATATAATAATAATAGCGTGTAATATATATGTATAACCAATGACATGTTATATGATACAATAATAATCACGTTTCAGTTTCATTAATATTAAATAATAAAGTAATGATATAGTTGTGTACTAAAAAATACAATTTTCGTAAATATAAAACGTTGGATAAAAATGAAATGAAAAATAAAAGATAATTAAACTGTAATTTCTAAAAAAAAATTTATATCAGTCATTTTGACTGTATAGTAATTCTAGTGTCAATAATGAGATTGATTGTACCGAAGATGACCGAAAGAACATAAAAGATTTAAATAAAGGATTATATCATAGTTTTGTACTTAAATTACATCGTGCCACAAATAAACAAGTGTCTACATGCTTTTAAGCAATACAATACAATAGACTATACCATACTCGTACGCTCAAAACTAGCAATTAAAATGCAGCTGGATGCCTGAATTTTTATTTGTATTCACCGTATGAATGAATTCAAGTTTAAGGACGTATGGATGGTATTCTATAACAATGAGATACTTCCTTTTCCTTGTCAATGAAACATACATAGCTATATGTTATTCATGTAATGTAACAAATCATACTATCATACAGTCATGTTAAATTCAAATTGAATGTAAATTTAGTTTCATATATTTCACGACGCAGTTGACAGTTTTATTTAAGAAATAAATACTTAGAGAGTGTTGTTCTTGTTGCGAAGTGAAATTAATTAATAATTGTAAGAAAAAATTGTAAATTGATGTTTTAAGGAAAAATGGTAAGTTCGAAGTAATTATTGAAAATTGAAGCCAACAACGTGGTGAATATTATATTGAAAAGTATCGGCAAAAGAAATTGCAGTTCAGACTGACGAAAATGAAGAATTCAAAAACGTAATTCATGGAGAGCACGCATAGAACGATGTCGTAACGATTACTAAAGAATGCAACACACAAAGGACCCCGACCCACTCTCTATTGCAATTCACACGTGTATAACAAAGATAGCGTGCTCTTCACAAATGTATGATTTACAATCGGTTTCGTCAAAGAAATCGTTGTAACAAACTACACAAATAACCGAGAGAAGAAAGCAAGAAAAATAGCAAGATAGAGAAGAGTTTCTTTAAAAAACTACAAAAACGAGAAAAATAGGAAAATAGTAACAAATAATAAAAAAAAGAATAATATGAAAACAAACAACAAGAAAGTAAC